CAGAAAACACTGAATACTGAAGATAGTATATTCCAAGACGAAAATGCATTGTTCCTGAACAACTCTGGACAGGCTTGTTTTGTTATTGKCCAATTGGCATTGAAAATKGRTTTTTGTTGTATCAGAGTGACTATATACCAGCTTTGTACAGTCAAGAACTTCATTGGAATGCAATTAAATCCAGAGTTGTTATTTTGCAGCTAAAGTGCAGTTGAATTAGCAATGATGCTTTGCAGTCTTGTACTATCCAGTAAGTACGCTTATATTAGTTTTCAGTATTCAATTTTCTGAAAAAGCTGTAGAAAATATTAAATAAGTGGTAATACTCTTAGTCAAGATGAAAAAAATYAATCCTGTTTCAAAATATCAAAACAATATGTAAGACGGTTATGAGGTAAAATTATTAAAAATCAATAAGCTTAAGCTTTCAAGCTGTTAAAAACGCTTATCAATTTTGATTCTTGAAGAATATCAAACTAATGCACAAAACTTTTGCATAATTAGTACACAATTTCACGTGCACTTTGAACTGACAACAAGYGAAATACTGATGTTTTTTCTCTATTTTTTTCCTATGAGAGTTAAATATACTTACGACCAGGAGGAGCTGGGCCCTTGAAGTTCGTATTGACTGGAAGCAGCGCCATATTGCCAATCGACAAACTCGCTTCYAAACTCGAATGATAAGCCTAAACAAAGCAAAAATCAGCTGATTAGCTGCTTATACGATTTAAAATTGTTAGAAGTAACACAATTGCTCCCAATATACTCACAGGCATGTTGAAAAACAAAAATAATCAGCACAAACTTCAATAAGATTCTCAGAGGAAGTAAACTCCCATATTACCCAGCATTCCTTCCATTCCTTCCGCCAGTTCCAGAAGCCTTTGCTGTAATTACACACAGGAAGCCCAACGAAAACATAAGATAGATCAAGACAACAACAACTTTCTTTAAGATCTGAAAAAGGTATTTATGTTTTCTATTTTTGAAAACTGTGCTGTTACAATATTTTGATCTGATTGATTATTTTATTTGCTGTTGTTGCTGTTTGTTTTTTGTTGCTATTTCGGTTTGTTTGCTAGATTTGTTTTGCTTTCAGCAGCTTTAATTGCTGGTGTTTTTTTTTGACTTTCACATTGTTTATATTTACTGCTTTGTTTTGTATTCATCGTGCACCTTTAGTATGTCTGGCTGTGAGTGAGAAGGGTCTTTGAATTGTTGTGATGTGATGTTTATGCAACGGCATGCATGAATTACGACGTACTGATGTAAATAAGATTGAAGATATAATTAATGAACCTTCTATAGGGACATGAGAGTCTTCTATAGGTACATTAGAGCCATGCATATGGACGTCCATATATGAAAGTCGTACGACAACCTCTACTCCTGTAAGTAAGGAATTCCAAAAGCTGAGGGTGCGCTAAAGTCTTTGYTAAAGTTTGGTATCCCTGTGGGAAGACAAGCGAATGGACTATGGGCCTGGGGACAGGACCTGACACTAGACTCCCACTGCCATAGGTAATCCAAAAATTTGATTTWTCGCGCGTACTTAAAAAATTAATCGCAAGGACAAATAATCGCCCAGTGTACCTTTTTCTATGCCAAAATATAATTCAGAAAACGAATTGTGTGATGACCGCGCGCATTAAATAAAATTGCGGTCAACCTGCGTGTTTATATTTAGCTTTGTTTGGTGTTGCGTTTGACAAGTGTGATCTCAGAACTCAACAAGTTCGACTTAGCCTTATGATAAAACATTGTTACATTCCATTTAGCTCTCCTATATGATACATTTATAGGTTTACATAATAGCAKTCCTTCTATGCATGGCTTTACATCTTATCAGATAAATCAGTGACATATAGATCTGTTTCGTTTGCATTCTGTTGTTCAGCAATGCTTGACAATCAAATAAAACTGTAACGCAAACTAACGTATCTAAAATGCTCTGACATAAGCCTTCTTGAATAAAAAAATTATGTTAGTCTTTCATACTGTTTTATATATAGACATCTAATGYCCGACTATTTCACGATTTTCCTAGTACAAAAGTGGATGGTAGGATCATGGAGAGAGATATATGATCATGATGCTATTTTACAGCTGTCGTTAATTCAATTAGTTCATATCACCAAAATATAAAACAGAAATTGGTGAACGTCGCGATGCGGAATTATTAGGTCTAGTGCCGCCATATGATCGCCCAAATCATCATTCCAAATGCGTATTGGCATGGAGCAACGTGTTTTGGGACGATTCAGGCAATTGTATAAATATCGAGCATTATAAAATATTATTAKTATCACATATTTCGCGAATGAATTTACCTTATTTTCACGCGCATATGATCACTGACACCGCGCGTATTTTGCAAAAACGCAAAAAGCACATGGGCACTGTAACATTTCCATTAAACATCGGATTGGAATAATTAGTAGAACCCAATTATATAAAATGTTGTGTACTAGATAAGTAGAAACACTAAGTTCTAAGCAAWAGCCTTAGCTTTGCAAGTCTTACAAAGGCTGTGAGTCAGTGAGTATCCGTTGAATATCCCAATTTATGTTATAAACTTTTCAAGTTAAGCGTTTCTTACAATTAATACTCCAAATTCAAATTGAATAGGGAGTTTATTGTAGCCCAACGCGTGCGTTTCGTCAAACATCTTATCAAATATTAGAACTCCTAGACGTAAACATGCCAAAACTCCTATATCTCCGAGTGTTRGCAATCATCTGAGCAAGTTTTTCAGTGTTAAAGGTTGTAGCTTTATATGAGTTYCTTTGATTTGAGCTTGTAAGCAACAAAGGCTCGGTATTCGCTGCTGGACCATTGATACTCGAGTAGGCAATTTTACTGACACTGAGCTCGCTCAATTTYCCTCTTATGCACTTTTCGGGGTAAACAACTTGTTCATTGGAATTATTACACCTGCATCGACACAACTGATCGCGAATAGCGTTATCAAAGAAGCTGTARATGGCTGGATTTAAGCAAAGTTTTGCCAGCGCAAGAAACGAAGAAAGATCGTGTATTGTTTGGAAGCCCAAGTCATGTCTAAAAGTCTTGATATTTCGAATGACATAAAGCGCCGCTAACGGCGTCCAGCAGAACAAATATGCTGACATCACTATTAAGTTCATTACAACTGAGCGCCGTTTTGCTAACGGAACGATATTTGAGTCAAAAGCAGTTGTATAACTACGGTGTATTGGGCCTGGATATTGAACTGGTTTGGTTGTCGGCCCGACGTTGGTGATTCTTCCTCTTGTTGGWGAACCAGTYCGAAGAAGACGGGTTACAATGACGGCATATACCATTGTTACCATTAGAACAGGCAAKAGAAACACCAACCATAGTTGTATTAAAGAGTATAGTCTGTCTAACTGGGTGAGTGCATGCCAATGGCCGTGCTGACACTGTAGTAACAGGGCGTTGGGTTGGTGGGACGTTCCCAGGACGTAATACATCACTGGACTCGCACACAAAAGAGGATAACACCAAGAAAATACCATCATATGTTTGGCTTGTCTACGGGTTATTTTAGACAATGGATGAAAAACTGAACAATAGCGATCCACACTCAACATTATCAAAGACATCATGGAAGCACCAAGCGCAACAGTTTGTACATACTCCATTAGCTTGCAAAGTGTTCCACCCAATATAATCTCTCCTGTTAGCTCACGCTCAATTTTGATCGGAATAACAAGAAATGCTATCAATATCTCGCTGGCGGCTAAATTCACAATAATATGGTTCATGGCCGACATTCTYTGTGTGTGAAGYCCACAATAACACACTAGAGCGTTTCCTGTGACACTAACAATAAATATCAAGACCAAGATCACTGTCTTKCCAACAATAAGGCTCTCGTCTTCCATTGTTCTTCTCGTCTGACGCAATTTTAGTCTCTGAAGAAATAGTGTTTTATCGCATGGCGTCTGTGTTGGCGTTTGTTGAAGGCGTCAAAAGTCCTCATCATATCGTTGTCTCTCGTAGTGCTGTTAATACTACACTCTATTTAAGTTTCCTTTAAGATAATTGTGCTATAAACTTATTGCTTGGTGAGTCATCCATTGAACTGTGATCAGGAGAGCGTGTGCTCACCCGCCGCAAAAATACAAGCCACGTCATAAGACCACGTGCTTTGTACGCCCTGAGACCAAAAACTGTTTGTCAAACCTGCCAAAATGGACTTCCTCCAGTGGCTAATGTATCTAAGATTGAATTACACTCTGACAAAATCGATGGATTTTATGCGCTCGATGAGAAGGTGCCATCGATTAGATTTGATTTCTCATCCATGGCTTGTTTTTCAATGTTACTCATTGAATATGTTATAGCAATCCAAATTTTGAATTCATCAATAGCCACAGTGTGGCACATAAAATATATAACAAACAAACTATCTAATAGTAAAGGGCGTTCTTAGACTTAAAAATGCCACGGTTAATGGCTTGCAATGAAAAGGTCAGAGATTGATTATATWAAACAGTTATAGGTGTGCCTTTTTGCAGTTCCATCATAATGTTTGCAGAACAATTTTCTTGGATTTCTAGACCAGACAATTTAATTTTCTAGCTGACTTAATTTTTATCATCTTTTAAGTTTATTGTTGAATTCTACCAGGTGAAATTAGATTTTGAAGGAACACATTCTGGTGGTTGTATTGTCTTTGCAATGAACCCGCAACACCCGATTACGAAATGCACTACTCCTCCCCCGACAAAAACCGTGCTAAAACAACTCACTAAAAGTGTTAAAGCACATAGCGAAACTGTCGCAGATCCAYTGTTTCACACGCTAGCTAAGCTGAAATCAAAAACATTTTAATTCAGACTTCCAAATGAAAAGGAAAAGCCGAGTGAAAGCGGTTTAGTAGGTGAARAAGAATCTGAACAACGAAAGATGCCGTCGACTGCTACATTGTAGCCAATGAAAACAAATAKCAAAGTATTTATTATTTGCTTACTTGAATGAATTTGAAGAAATACCTTAATTTAATTAGTATACTGGGGATTTTTTATTCCTCGATTTTTCGTAAAAAAAGGAATGTAGAATTTATTGTGCAGTATTTGTCATTGATGGCAGCAGAGACTGGGTTCCTTTTGCATCTAAAGCTTTTGATCAAAATCGTATTTTTTCATAATTTTATGATTCTACTACAAAATATATTGCACCTCGTAGTAAAGACTGAAGATATATTTAAGCCGCGATTCAAGCAAAAGGTATAACATACACTATGAAATATACTAGAAATATCGACTAGAATAAACCGCAGTGTAGTAAATAGTGCATTTATCAAACAGCTTTTAATTACTTAAAATTRTTGTTTGTATTTTATAACACGACGGGTTAACAATTTTTTAGATCAAGCACTTATAACTAATAGAATTTCAGAAAAATCAGGAATYACGAAAAAATCGTAAGAATTAAATATAGATATCAAGGTTTTTTTTTCTACAATTGTTACGCCGATATCTTTTAGAGAAAAAAAACACGTCTTAAGTCAAGTGGAATCAGCTGTAACGGCACGATTCAATTATCATGATTTCATATTATKCTACGGATTGCTTGGTTCTTAGATCAGTGGGTGTGGCTTTATGGAGCTAGGATTATGATTTCTTTGAGAACATTTAAAATCACCCTGCCTACAACTTAATTATCTTTACTGTTGGGTGTTGAAAAATGTTTCCCAACTTGAATTGATCCCCATGCATGATTTGAACAGAAAGTCGTGTACGTYGCGTAGAGTAAAAATTAATCACATTAAACTTTAGGGGAGTGAAATAATCAAAAATTCATGATTATTCAAGCGTCAAGATGAAGCTGATTGAACCATTTTCGTATGCTTGAGATAATCACTTTAAAGTGGGATACTACCTCTCAATGGATTTTCATTGCTTAATTTGAATATCAGAACTCCAAGAGTGTTGTCAGTTGTTTGAATCTGACTATAAAACCGTTCAAGAGATCCTTAATTTTAATTTTCATGTGATATTTCAGTTTATACTCTTGTATACGCGCCAATAATCCAGTGGAGTCATTATTCGGTTATCAAGATAGTCCAGTGGAGCTTAAAATATTATATCAATTAATTTATGATACATTATTCTATAAAGGTCATTATATAGTATTTTTTTATTATTTTTTTTCATAACTACTGATTGCATGGAGACTAATAGCGTGGTATATATACTGTTCTTGTAAATGGTCAGCCCTCCAAAAAACATTTGATTTAATAATTAAAATTGAAAAAAAAAAAAAATCAAGGTCACGTCCATGTTGATTTCTACTTCAGAAACACCCTAAAAATAATGAGTCTTGTTTGAACAGCACGAGTAGGATGTGTTTAGATCGTGGTTTTGGTCTCGCGTTTAGGATGATTAGCATTTTCACCAGAACTGAGTATTGTGGTTATTTTCAGTGTATCTGGAGTTCAAAAGCCGGCGGTATAAGATAATAAGCTCATAAGAGCACACGACTTTTGATGCTAGTGTCAAAGTGACATCAAATCGAGTAACCGAACCAAAACGACAGGTTATGAATTGGTTTCTGTTAGAGGTGACATTTCATCACTGCTACGCGAATTATCTTACGATAAAGGTCCCTTGCAGCGGACTTTTTAGGTTGTCAGTTTTAATAGCACAGCACTCGAATCGTGAGAGCAGCGAAAAAAAATCGGTCTAGAATCTATAGCGTTGGTATATGAAGTCTGTTGGTCATCTAAAATAAGATATATTTATAATGAACATCATCATTTTGATTTCATCACCAAGGCCGGCAATCTCAATCTCGTACCCAGATGTTTCTCAGTTTTCCTTCTTTGGGGATCTGATAAGGATCTGGGTACGAGAATTGATTCGTGCGATTTGAGTTTTGTCGTCTTCACGGTCCGCCACCTACACCAATCAGGAACACCGACAATTCATCTATAACAAAATTTCTTCATTTCTTCTTCCAAGCTTGGCCGAACAAGTATCTTCACATCCTTCMCTTGATACATGTGAAACAGACTACCTTGCCTAACCTTTTATTTCGCAGGCATCTTTGCAAGAAACACCTTTGTACAAACATAACAATTTGAAAAATGAAAAAGTCTCTTTTGTCCTTCAATATTTTTAGCTTTGAGCATTAAAGCATGATTTAGTCAATTCGGCGGTATCAACTCCTATAAGTTGACACTAAGCGTGAAATATTTCCCCTACAAACAGGACATTCACTGATCTGCGCMGCACAAATACGGCAAATACATATATGTCCACATTCGAGAATCACAACATCTCTTGGCTTTTCCAGGCAAATAACACAGGGTTCTCCAATGACATTCTCAGTACCTCCCACTCCCTCCTCATTCAAGCTTYTTAAAAACTGTTCATTTTCAGCCTCCATCCTTCGCTTCTTGTAGTACTTGTAAAGAGCAACGCAAAATAATAYACCGCTACCACAGGCCAACAATACACTCAATGCCTTCCATAGTCCTTTATTTGACTGAACATTACGTAATAAGCCCTCCATGCTCAATGTTGAGAGGAAATACGGTTTGCCATCAGTAGGAGGACTCAAAACCATCCCATCTTTTGTTAAAGATAGCTTTCCAATACCAAGAAGTGTTGTTCCTACAGGAAGCACTTCTTCAACAGTCTGAAAGCCCTTTGTCTTTTCTCCTGCTGCCCAATGGAATATGCTTTGAGCGGTACTATGGGCAACAGGTTCAAACTTGTCAAAAACGTTTTGCAGATCAAAATACTTTGCTGAAAGCGGTTCAGAGACCAATGCAGATCCTTCACCTGAACACAGTTTGAATGGCACAGATTGGACCACTGAATTCAGCAACTGCTTGACATCATCCCTAAAATGAAAAAAATGGAATGAGAATGGAGTGGAAGAGAGTTTTCGAACTTAGTAGGAAATGGAGCCTGTCAAATCTTTAACCCCTCCCACAGCTTTCTCATGTCAACTTTGCCCAGTTCCCTTCTCATCCTTTGTTTGCACAGGGAACCCAATATAAAGTTGTGAGTGGAGGAAGCTACATTTTAATGTACACTGGAATATGATGATGGCTACTTTATAAAAGTTCAACATTCATTCAGGTTTAACTTACCATCGTCTAGTTGAATCACACCATTCACTTTTTAGCTCATAAACCTGAACCTTTTTCACAAGACTTTGTAAATCAGGTACATTTTCACTGGTTAAGATATCAAGTGGCCTTTTGGGCTTTGCCTCACCAATAATAGCAACATAAGGTAAGGTATTATCAGCAGAGGCCTCCAAGGACCTAGTCAACTCTGGACCAAATTCTACCTGAGCAGCACTCTACATAGAACAAAAACAACAAAATATTGTAATATAACAGCCATTTGCAAAAAWTCTGACATCTATCATGGATAATTCTAAAAAGAGATTTTTGTCTTTTTTTCTAATAAAAATGTCATTCAGTACTGTTAAATGACAAATTGAATGTTTTTATTTTAACTTTGAAAAATCAGATACCCTAAATATCAATATATATTACAGTAATAATTTGAATGTGTGCATAACAGGTTGCACTGCCAGATCCAGCACTAGTTTACCAATGTGCATCAAAAAAYAAATCCGTGAAAATGAACCATTTTGTTTTATGATGAAAATAAGTGAACTATTGCTGGATCCACYAGTGGGTTGCAGCGTTTGGGATGTGTCTTTCAAACAGCAGATATCAATACAAATATTTCTCCAAATATTATTTCCAGAAGTCAATGGTTGTGTTAAGTGTTTTATGTGGAGCGCTTACATGGGACTAGCTAGGACTATCCTAGCCTGAAAGGCAGGCATTCATAGTGATAGGTCTGTGGAGTAAATTATAAGGAGCATACAAAGAGTACAATCCTATTCAGTGTTCTTGAGAATTAAATAAAAGATTCAATCCAGCTGAAAGGCAGGGCAAATATGATTGTTATTTAAAAGCAGAATGCTCAGCTTTCTTTCGTAACGATCTATTGGCAATTTTATGTTGAACAGATCAGAGCTAAAATTATAACAGTTAAAAGAACCTTAACAGTAGACCTTAAAGTACCTATGATGCTTGTTATAATTATAGCTGATTCCAAATAATGGAATAGAATAATATCTCACAGAGAATTAGCAATTATTGTGTCAGGTGTAGGTATTTAACAAGTTATTTTAATTAGAAGCTCTGGTTTGTATCTGCACAGCAATTGGTTGTTTAGACTTTTACAAATTCTTCTGCCTTATTTTGTTTATTTATTTTTTTATTTTTTGTACTTTAAGCTTATACGTCCAACTACATAAAAAGTCAGGAGCCCCAAAAAACTGATCTTTGGATTGCTTTGCTTGATTGAGGTTACAGTATCACATTTAAAACTGGAATTCTTTTGTCTGCTAGTCAACTCCTAAAACATTTTCAGTTTAATAAATGTACCACTTTCAATAGGCTAGACTAGTAAGCTTAAATCTGATCAGACTACAGTGAAGGTGATTTAAGATTAAACTTTAATCATGTCGGAATTTCAAAGTATGTGAAAAGTGGCTTGTCATCAGTTTGTATAACAAAACAATAATATAATTAATCACCGCAAATCAGCACATGCTTAGATGATACTCTGATGATACTCTATATGTTTAAACTAAGAAGCTTGATACATGGTAATATTTGATCAAAAACATCCATTAAGACGAGACGAAATCGAGACACTTTTCATTACCTGAATGCTTCTCACCAAATCACTCTTATTTTTGCATATAGCGTAGAAGAGACCGGAAAATGCTGCACATCCTATGCCAGCGATCAGACAGTAATCAGGCATTCTTTCTCAACTTCAAAGCGATAAGTAAAATGTTTAAAATTTCATTCTAGCACAAAATGGCGGAAATGGGGAACCAGTCTCTCGCCCCAGATCTCGCGCAATCGAATTTTTTTTCGCTGTGCCTAGTCGTGTTCGTTTTTTTATTTATTTYTGGCATTGTAGTCCCCGCATTTATCAACATTTGTACTTTTAAAATATGAAAACAATTAATTATTGCAATAAACATCAAAACAGAACGACTCAAAAAAMATTTAACAATAAATAAATTATTCGAGACGTACTATTGTAGTTTGAATCTTAAAATTATTTAACTTTTATAACTCATTTTTTTATATTTGTTGTTTATTTGCAAAGGAGTAAAAGAAAAAGAAAAAAAGAAAAAAATTCGAAAGAAAAAAAARRAAAAAAAAATGCCTTRTGCTCCAGGGGAGGCTCGAACTCCCGACCTTCGCATTTCTAAGTAGGGCACCCTCGAGCTCGCCCATACTGCTTATAAGTACGACGCGCTAACCGACTGTGCCACTGGAGCTTGGCTGGTCAKGGGAGTSGAAAGTTTACCTTTTATTCTGAACTTGTAATATAACTTGGCAAACATGTGATTTGTGAATATTGGAAATATGTATCAAAAGCCAAAAAACKTATTGATCTAATCTTTCTCAAATAAAATGACCTTACTAAGCTCTTTTTTTTGTAGATCACTACCTAATTTTTTTCTCTGGTGTCATGACGATATTTAGATATGGGATTCCTTTGGCTTTTTGCTAATTTCAAAAACTTGACAATTTCATCAGTTCCTTACAATATATGAATGAATAAAAATATGAAAAAAATTATAATAATGAAAAAAACCTATTTTATTTCGTCTCTGAAATCGTTTTTATATGCTATTGTTTTTTTTGGCATATTTTTACCAGGATTTATATCCCAGCTTTTATGTTTCATCGTATGGTTTTTATGGTGGCTCCAGGGTTTTTTCGTGATATAATGTTTAGAGTCTATATCATGAATTCCCTTACATGTAAAACTTTATACTTCTTGTTTATTTTGTGCTTGTTTATTTTTGATTGTTCTGTTTGAGTGAGCGCTTTCTCAGTGATAATTATGGTTTGATTGATAGGTTTAGTGATTATAGTTATACATTGTTGTATTTTATCCGTRCTAATTCTCGCGACCACGAAAATTAGCACAAGTAAAGTAATACATATACTTTTCATCAGTGTTTTATAATAAATGATTTGGAAGGAAGCATTCTAGAATTAAGGAATAAAAGACGAAATTCCGTGTTTGATACTCTGATCAAAACACGCGRGATGTAGGGAGAGCACGAGAGAAGCGTTTCCAGCTTTTCGAGTGCTCTCCCTACATCCCAAGTGTTTTGATCAGAGTATCAAACACGGAATTTCGTCTTTTATTTCTTTTCTAAAATTAAAAGAAYAAAAGAAATTTTTGACGCGCACGAGCGTGTTTTGATACTGTAATCAAACATGGTTTTCGACCAATCACAGCGCGCGTAGTATCCTAAAKATTTTAGAAATAATTTTTCGTGAGTCATTTTCATGCGTGAAATCGTGTTTGAGACGTTTACTTGAAAAAAAAAAAATTATTGAAAAGTTAAATAAATATTGAAATATATTCTTCGATTCAGCAAATGTAAAGTTCATGGCGACATTGCAATAAATAAGCCTTGAAGCAGTATTCAGTTCAGTGATTTCCCATAGAAACAAGGGTACAGTCACCTGACACTATACCCGTCAGCAATGTCGGGCGGTATAGTATAGGCTCTCAAGTTTGAAAATGATCTACACAAACGGCTGTGCTAACAACTACAAAACAACAAATTTTCGAAAATGAAAGTCCTTATCTCTTTTRTGGTAAGTATAGTTTAACGTCGTCAGTATCATGATAAGCCTTTTCGTGAATCTTTCAAAGTACTTTGTCATGTAGATAAACTGATGAGCAGAAAATATAAATGTGCAAATGTAAATTTGAGCTGCAGCGTTCAGAGCGCCCTGAACGCGTACAGAACTTTGTTCGTTAAACCTTTCCTTTAACTATTTAGTTGTGCAGGCATTATTGATGAACACTTTAACACAAAATCGGGGCAGCCTGAATTTGAACAAATTGATACGACATATGAATCGTCTCAGAGATTAAATGATCTATGATATAGTTAATTGCTTCACTGCATCTTATGAAACATGAATAAAAAAAACATTCACATAAAGGCACATATGTGTGTGAATAGTATTATACATTACACTATTTTAGGCATATAATTTGTGTTTACGATTAAGCCGATTAGATTTGGTGAATAAGATCAGTAAGATGTCATTCAATTGTTCCTAATAACGAAATTTGCTAGTAGGCAACCTATATTGCACGCAATTTAGCACGTACACTGGTTTAGGTCCTTCTGGGATTTTTTTTCTAGATATCTTTTAATTTACTTTTAGAGTTAATTTCTTTTTAAACATTTCATTTGTAGAAACTCATGGATAGCTTAAAATCCCAGTTCAGGAAAACAATCAATCACATGTTAACATGCGTACATTAGCTATGATGCATGTCACATAGTGAAATGAAGTGATCTGCGCTAATTTGAGAATTTATCCAAAATGTCTCTCTGAAACTTTGATTCACTAACTCAAGTACAAGGCAAGTTACTTTGCAAAGGCCGGCAATTCCAACCTAAAACCTAGTCTAATTCTAGTCTTACCATAATTAATAGTGAAACGATTATGCCACGGGTTGTCATTGTATYGGTCCGTGATATGGTAGACGAGCAACTTGTGTAAGGCTGCCAAAACCAACTATTTCTTTCTAATAAAACAACAACACACAACAACAACAACAACAACAACAACAATAAATACCGCACATGATCGCGTGCATTCGAGCTAGCGCCTTCAAACTTTCCATTTCCTGTTTAATTTTTTAGTGAATTAAGTTTATTCAGCCATTTATCATTGGAATTTAAGCTCACGTTCCATATCTATTAATTAGACGTTTTGCATAAAAATAAAAAAGTTTTTTATTTACTCTTAATTTTTGCCTGTACTTGTCCAATGCTCCGACAAATTTATGCATATATAGCATTGTATTGCGTATTCTGTTGTATTGGTCATTCTCTTGTATTGTTGATATCCGTTGTTACGTGGATACAATACTATGCATAAATGTTACTGCAACTCAATGAAAGGCATCACGTTTCCCATTGGATAAAACCTGACTGACCGTTCTCGATTGTAGATCATATGTTTACTATCCACAACGGCTCAAGCTGGAGAACAAGGGAGTACAGGTATTGTTATCTATGAATTTTAACTCTATTGAAAAAAACCGGGTTGTCTTGATTAATGGCGCGCAAAGGAATGAGAGGCTAAAGTATATGGGCACATGGTTGGTTTAGTTACTAAATTAGTGCATCAAGCTATCGAATGATTACTACYACATCTCGATGAAAAACAATAACAAGCAAACAAAAATGGTCTTCATTGTTCTAAAACAGGAAGTGAAGAGCATCACAGTCCATTCATCGTAGACGGTCATGATGCGGWTCCGCACGAATGGCCTTGGCAAGTAATGTTAAGAAAATCAGGAAAATTTGTCTGTGGTGGATCGCTTATCAGTGCTGATTGGGTGCTCACCGCTGCTCACTGTCTGCATGACAACCCAGACCCATCCATTTACACAGTTGAAGTTGGTAAGCTAAGATCGTTGAATGCTTTATTTTCCTTTTGCTGAAAGTTCTTTTATTTTATGCAAGTTCAGTTCTGACATCCAGGAACAAAAAGAGTGCCTGCATTAATAGTCACCGCATTTTATATACAGCTAGGGATTTAGAACATTTGACTCCCTATACTCGTACTTCTGCACATCACTATGGTACTGCAATATGCAACAAATAATTGTTTTCAATATTTCATTATTTGTAGGAGCCCACAGGAGATTGGGAACCACTCCCATTCAAAAGCGGCTTGCAATTGCATCTTTGTGGTTACATTCCAATTTCAGCACTGTCAATCTACGAAACGATATAGCACTTTTATTACTTAACGAAACAGTAAACATCACCAGTAAAATCAGGCCTATCAAACTTCCTCGTCAGGGAAAAAGAATCAACGCAGGCAAAACTTGCTATATAACAGGTAAGTCAAAATGTCTTCATTCTTAATTCGTATTGACAACACTCAACTCGACCGCGAGGAATTGATAGTCCATGAGGCCATACTAGTGGTAGTGGTCTAATTGTTGTAGTATCTCCCATGATATAGCACAAATTTGAAAACAAAACATAGAGAATAGTTTTTCTCGACATTTTTCGATTCTTTCGCTTCATTTGATGCGACTATGGTCCATCATGAATAGACTATAGTTTAGCAGCCAATCAAAATGTTGGATATGTACTAGCCCATTGTTTGATGGATACGAATGCGTAATCTTAGAGCTGAAATGTGTTACTATGTAGCTTTGAGTTGAATATTCATATTATCTAATAGTCGCCTAAAACGTCTTATACGGCAACTACATGGGGTCGTTAGCTAAGCATGCATGAAACTGTATAGCTGAATTAACCTTAAATCCTACATGTTTTGATTTCATGGTACTACTCACATGCACTGTCTCTCTCTCATCTTATCTAAGGCTGGGGACGTCTAAGTGGCGAGGGAATCTACTCTGATGTTCTTCAAGAAGCTCCTCTGGATATTGGTGGTGAAAGTAGTTGCAGAAGCACCAATGGTCCCAATTATGATAGTGCTACCATGATTTGTGCAGGAGCACAAGGAAAAGGCGAGTGTGAAGGTGACAGCGGTGGACCTTTATCCTGTTATGAAGGAAATCAGTGGATCGTTCGTGGTGTGGTGAGTTGGGGGAAGGATGGATGCCTTCCAAACTACTACGCCGTATTCGCACGAGTGAGCAACTATGTTGCATGGATATCAAAGATAAAAGACCAACGAGGTATGCCGTCATGATACTATACTGTGAACGACCAACTGAGAGAGAGAGGGAGAGAGAGAGCATCGCCCAATGTCAGAGGAGGGAACAGTAGTACCCCACAATGCATTGCGTTTCAGACTATATTATCGACCTGTCATCATCTATGAACAGAAAGAACTGTATGAACACTAAGAACTTAATAGAGGTGTCCCAAACTTGATCAGCCACGAGGGGCAATCGTACAGTCTAGCTCAACTTTATCAGAGACAAAGCAGCAATTTCATTGTATTTATCTTTTTATGAGCGCCACTAATAGAAAAAAAAGTCAAAATGAATGTAGAGAAACTAAATGAATTCATTATCATTAATATAACTTTCTTATTTYAAAGGGAATATAAACTGCACCTTTGAAGACAATCAGCCGTGCCAATCTTGGATTCAAGACAAGTCTGATAAGTTTGACTGGACCGGMAAGCAAGGACCAACATCGAGCCCTGGAACTGGTCCATCAACAGACCATACAACTGGTTCAGGTATAATGATGATGCAATCATGTCTCACAATTTATACATCCACACAGATCTTTTCATTTTTGGAATGTTTTCGCTGGGAGTTGAAGGGCACGGAAAAGTTTTTATCTCTTGTAACCATGACGCGTTTTYTGATTCAGGTCATTACATGTACATCAATACAGCGCATTGGAAGATAAAATCCGGCGACAAAGCCCGGTTATACGGCGGAATTTTAAACAACACTGAAAAATTATGCCTTTCCTTCTGGTACCATATGTACGGTAGAGATATCGGTGCTCTGAGGGTACTCACAAGGGGACGACAGAAGCTAAGTACTGTTTGGTCAAGAAAAGGTCCCAGTGGCAATAGATGGCTCCAAGGAAAAACAACCCTTACAGCTCGGGGAGAATATTGGGTAAATTGACAAAGTAGTATTTGCCAGTCACGTCTCAAATTCTAAGAGAAGCAATTATAGAGGCCTTGCCATGTCAAAAATAACCTATGTACATCTTTTCACACCTCTTCTCMTGTACAAGGAAAGGTCTTGCAAGAAATGTTAAGGTTTCCTAGAATAAGAAAATATTATCATTTAATACTGGTAGAATGTAGAAGCTTTGGAAAGAACAATTTTCATCGATCATGAATTGCCTAATCATGGTACTTCTACAGGAGTCACCTCGAAACTGCATCAAACTATGAAGTTCTTTAGCAATCAGCATAAGTAATGTACACACCCTACGAAATATTATTCTTGTAATACTTCATTTATTTTATTTGTGGTCACAAGAATTCTTTCATATGGCTTATGTCTCCTGTCGTTGACTTGATTCTATTTTTCACTGCATGCCGCATTCAGAAATTTGGCATTCCTATTATTGCTTAGCTGTAATATCACGCAACATCAGCTAAAAATGTTTTGTTAAGCTTAAGCCTCATCTGTCTTATTTTTAGTTATATTTTTAATACCCTCTATTATTCTTAGCTCATATTTGAGGCGAKATCTGGGAGTGGAAAGGAAGGAAACATTGCAATTGACGATATTGCTCTAACCAAAGGATCCTGTTCAATTTCACGTATGAAGAATATTACCTTTGCATTAAATTTGAATTTGAAAATTCAATTGTATGATACGCATATAAAAATGTTCTCCATAGCAAATGGAAACAAAATTCTTTCTCATTTAAGAATCCTGTCGTGATCAGACGTGTTACAACAAAGGAAACGCATACTGTTTGAATAACACAGGATACTGTTACTGCCAGAGTGGTTCCTATGGACAACAGTGTGAATCTTGTAAGTAATCCTGCAATTAAAAGGTAAAAGCATCGCAACTTTTCGCTCATGAAAGAGCGATGCACACTATTCGAGACCCTTGAAAATGATGCAGTTCTTCAAAATTTACTCTCAAAATATTTTTCTTAAGAAGTCTGTTGWGAAATGTGTGCCAGGTTAGCTCAAAGATTATTCTTCGCATGTTATTACCGAAGATCTTAGTTGTGTCCGTTCAGTCGGTTACCATTCTGTATTGAGAAACCTTGGTATGGAATCCTTGGAAGTATTTTAAAAATTTGTTCCAGTTTCTTTCTTTAATCTAATTTATCGCATGCATAATAACGAATTTCACTACTTAATGTCATGCAATAACAACGAAATGGTTATTATAAGAAAAGCTTTCTTGGAAAGMCTTTATAACATAAATAACTGTTTCAAAACCTTCACAGGTTTTGATTGCTTATTCTTATACATATTGTCAATGAAAGATGACTCTATAGTAAAAATAACTGCTAAGTATTGTTTTAATGTTCTAAATCTGTACAATARCTTAGTCAGCTAGTATACCTTGTTTGTTAAAGTTAAATTTTATGTTCTAATGTACCTTTTTTTTGGTATTTATGGAATAAAGAATTATTATTATATAATTACCATCTCAGCAGCAGGTTTCGCTTCTCCCGTCCGTTCTTCGTACGACGAAGCACTCTGTTGTTTAAGTGAAACAACAGCGTGATGGTCTACTCTGATGGATCGATCTATTCTGCCATTCATTTTTTCAGTATCCTATAACTGTAGCTTTGACGGAGGTTTATGTTCCTTATGGGACCAAGACAMTACAGATGACTTTGACTGGACTCGATACCAAGGCTCTACAGTGAACCGTAAAACGGGTCCTTCGAGAGATCATACGACTGGTAAATAAAAAATAGATAAAACACAAGAAAAAGAAGCAAAGCAAAGCTAGACTAAGCAAATAATGATAAAGCAATACCGGGAAACTCAGATATATATCTCACATTATACAAGTTGCTTTTAGCATTACAGACTAATTTATATTTTTAATTGTACTTTTGATCTTGCTTCTGCTGACTTTTATGCTCCAAATCTTTCTTCCCCAGATCTCACTTGCGCAACGTCATAAATAGTTCCAAAGACTGTTATGAAGTTGCGTTGCTTGTTTCCCCCGTTCAGATGTGTGACAAGTGTGATCGATTTTGTCACAACAAGATAATAGATGCATTCCGAGATGATGTTATTGGTGTATTAATAGTATCTGACACTTATTTTCCAGGATCAGGTTCGTATTACTATCTTGAGACCTCCTTCTCACGATTTGGTGATAAAGCTCGCTTGATAAGCAAGACCTTCCCTGCCACAAAGGACATGTGTTTTACCTTTTGGTATCATATGTATGGCAAAGATATCAACACCTTGAGAATCCTACTGAAGAAAGCTAGTCAACAGATTGTTGTTTGGTCCAGAAAGATTCAGAGTGGCCTCGATAGATGGCTTGAAGGAAAAGTCACCCTTAGTAGTGACGACCCGTTTAAGGTACATCTGCATCGTCTTAATGAGCTGATACTAACTGTGCTATAAGTGATATAAACCTTGTTGCCCTATATTCTGAGTCACTTCATTAGTGGTGTGGACAATTATCGCTTTACGATTAATGAGACTTTGTATATCCACTTCTTTTAACACAATCAGAAAACGTAATGTACAATTAGCCTCTTCGCGCACAAAATGTTTAGTCTKTTTTTCATAGCATTTGTTAATGTTGACATGAAATTGCCGTCAGGAAAATATACACCAGGTACCAAATGAATGTATATTGAAAGTGTCGTCTATTTTTTTTAACCACACGGCTATTTTTTTTTAATAACGCAGTCTTTAATCTCATGTTCAGTGAGGATTTTTTCTTCTTTCCCATGATTCCCAGCCGGTGCTTGTGACTTTCGCAGGTTGGTTTCCAATTTGCTTGAATACAGCAAAGCACTTTCAACTTACGRTGTGGCGTGTCACATGCACGCAATGTATATCCAGTGTGCGCTCGTTATTTTCAAAAATATTTCAATGCTGCGAGGATTTGTAGAACATTTTCAGACCCAGACTACTTTAATGTTTTCGTTCTAATAGGAAATACCTTCTTACAAGTAAAGATTTATACAGTTATTACATGCATTGCGTTTTCCTTTTTTTAAGGTTGTAATCGAGGGTATTGCAGGGAACGGTTACCTTGGAGAGATTGCTATAGATGATGTATCCTTCGTGAGCGGAACTTGCAGTGTATCAAGTAGGTCATATCTACCTACATTGTAATTTTCGAAGAGGTTTAGGCCTAATGCGATAATGTTGTTTAAATAAAAATACAGAATCATGTCGCGACCAGACCTGTTACAACGATGGTCATGCTTACTGCTTGAACAACACGGGACATTGCTACTGCCCTGATGATTCTATTGGTCAGCAATGTGAAAGGTACAGATGTGATTTTAATAAAGACTGGTGTGGGTCTTTATGGAACCAAGACAGGACTGATGTCTTTGACTGGACACGAAACAGAGGTCCAACACCTGTTGCAAATACTGGTCCTTCAGAAGATCACATTAGCAAAGGTAAAGTTGTAAGGTTAGATATATCTAGAAATCTTTGGTGCAATAAAAGTATAAAAAATACGATCTATAATGCATACTATACAACTGAATTTGTAGACAATTTGACAGTTCGTTACTCACATTAAAGTAATGATTTCATAAGGTTACCACTGCGTTAACCCCAAAAAAGTATATATTTAGGATGACACCAACAACAATAAAGTGCWTAATCATTTCCACAGTCGATGTTACTTATCAAATATCAGTGCAGAGCAACTGTAAATATACTACAATAAACAAGGCAAGCGGTCGATTTACATCACCTGGCTATCCTGAAAAGTATAGCAACAATCAAAACTGCGAGTGGCTGCTGACTTCCAACGGAAGGATTTCTCTTTCGTTTGAAAGCTTTGCAACTGAACACTGCTGCGATAGGGTTTATGTTTACGATGGCGGATCAAAGTTATCCAAATTACTTGGGGATTTCAGTGGGAACAGGCTCCCTTCAAATCTCTCCAGCTCGTCTTACCAATTGTTTGTCGTGTTTAATTCTGATGGATCAGATACGGATCGTGGTTTTTCCGCAAAATATGCCTCAGCTGGAAAAGGTAAGTTTGATGAGCTCCCTCTTGATTTGGTATTAAAAGCTCCGAAAAATTTAGAATTTGTTTGACTTTTACTTTATTTGTCTTGGGTACTAATAGCTAAGCTTGGTTTGAATAGTAAACATTAAGGCATCTATTTAGCTATAATATTGTTTTTTTCAGTCATATTTTCATTCACAGCTTTGTTGGAGTTATCCGCAAGACTGAGCCAAACCTTGTGTGCATGTTCAAGAGTAAAGAACATGCAAACAAATGCGTGAAAACAGCAGCAAAGATAACAAACTCAGTATTACTGAGTGATCAAACTTTAAAATCTTATACTTGTCTTTACGTGTGTCCACAGCATCGGGTTACTAYATATACACAGACACCAACAAGTATAGAAAATTCGGCGATACAGCTCGTTTTGTCAGCAAACTTCTTCCTGCTACAAAGAATACTTGCCTTTCATTTTGGTATCACATGTATGGCCGTGACATTAACACCCTTAGAGTCATTTTAAAGACCAGTCTTAAGAATACTACTGTTTGGTCCAGAAGGAATGACAGTGGCAACAGGTGGTTGGAAGAAAAGTTAAATTTTGCTACAACTAARAATTATCAGGTATGAATGGGATCAGAGGTCAGTTCATCGAATATTATTGTTCGCACTTTTGAGTTTTCCTAACTTTTTATATTGAAAGCCTTATTTTTATTTTGGGCTACTAGCCATAAGGCTGTGTGATTTCCATTTTGGACGGACCCGTATATAAGGTTGAATCTGGAAACCAAAAACGTTTGACTTCACCTGTCAAAATTGTYCAAGACATACAGTATCGTTATTTTGTTCAGCTCGTCTTCGAGGGAGTTGCTGGTAGTGGCATTTTAGGACACATCGCTCTTGACGACATATCAATATWCAAAGGGTCGTGCAATAATTCAAGTAAGCAGTATGTTCGGSCAAAGGGTTACCATTACATCAGCTATGATCGGYCATTTTAAATCCCATTATTTCATGCATAAGTCATGATACAGTTKCCAAGGAAATAAACAATGCTTTGGAGCTTGACATATCAATTAATAAATTCATTCAGCAAATTTTAACTGCTAATTATCATTTTTCTTCCGCATCAGATATAACTGAAACAACCCCGATACCAAGTATGTATTAACAACGATGCATAACGTGTCAATTCAATATCAAAAATAAATATTTGGATCTAATTAAATTTTTCTGGTAAACTATAGGTACAACAGCAACAACCAAAAGAACAAGTATGTAATAATAATAATATATAATTACGGAATTCATTCAAAAAACATTCTATTTAATGCATTGGTAGAATCCGCTGAGATTTTGCACACCTCAGGTTATGCTTTCATTCTTTATATATCCACGTGGAATATAGTCTCTTTGTAGCTTCTTTTTAATTTCKTAACGTATCAGTAATAGAGCATTTCTCGCTATAGGTACAATTAAGACGACAACAGCAACAACCCAGAGATCGTGTATGTAACGATTCCAGTGCTTCATCTTCTCATTTTGGATATTTTGTTAGAATGAATTACCAAMTTAAAATAGGGAAATAYATCAGTAAGGTGCTGAGGCCTCCTGCTAGTCGCACCACATAATGAGAAGTAGACTGATGACTGCGCAGATATTAACTACTTTACTAATGCTTGCAGTAAAATAAAATGATGGTTTAAGGAATTTCAACCATTAGCTGTTCGCCAATTCCTTGTTAGCACACTAAGACACTATTCTCTWTGGTAGCTCGTCATTAATCCACCAGTTGAGCTCCTCCATATGGSATCACCTGATATTTATTCAGCTCATAATGCAGTGCGCTACGGCTTCTGGGGCTTGTTGTACGAAGTGTGGATAAAGTTATCCTCACCATAGATTTATATGAATTGCATCCTCTGAACAATAATCTATTTGGCGGAAAGTGCTATTCCCACTTGGTATAACTGCCTCTACGGTGTTTTTGTATAACAAATTCGCACCAACTGATTCGATCTCTGTGCCGTGATGATTACTATATCATGATATTCACTGATGACCGGTCATTTATTTCATTTAAATCTTAGCAACAAGCAAATCTACTGAAATCCAAGGTATGTAATTGTCTTAATCATCCATTAACGATAAACATCCTTTGTTCTCATTCTAATCCTTACATTTCTGCCATTCATTTTCCATAGTATTTGATTTGATGGCTTTATTTAATCAACAGGTATAACAACAACAARCCAAATGCCAGGTTCGTAAAATAAATTGCTTTTGTCAGTTTACGAATTAAATCAGTGATTCTCGGCATTCGATACAATTTTTAGAGACAATACAGCAATCAACCACAAATAATTGTGGTTCAGCACCACAAATAATTGTGGTTCAGCGCTTGACCCATCCATAGTAGCACAATGTCTAAAACTTTTAGAGGACTGAGTCTTTCTTGAATTATAGGTACAATGACAACACCAGAAACATCAAGTAAGTATGTATGACAACATTTAACTATGGAAGAAACATATCGTTCATATCTACATATAGAAGTTTAGGTGAGTTTAGGCTTTCTTTCCCAAGAAGCTAAAATTTACCAAATATTGATTGCATTTTAGAAGTCGAGTCCCATCAGTCATCAACAAAAGCATCAACAACAAAGCCTAGAAATACTAATAATCCTTCGATGACACAATCGGTTCCTGATAAAAAGAGGAAACAATCTGTTCTCATGAGGGTAAAAAACATGCTCAAGGAAAAGGTACGAGAACATCTGTCATGCATTTATCTATTGCTCCGGCATCCATTCATTTCTTTTTTAATCATTGACTCGATGCTACSACGGCAAGGATTAAAATCCTTCTTTCATRTGTCTGTATTTCAAAAACTTCTAAATAGACATATCATAGAAAATACATTCATCCATTGAGAAAACATCCCGCCAAAAGAAAACCAAACACAAAAACTTGCGTGCACAGAAAAGTCGCGAATAATTTTGGATATTATTCTTCGTTTTCAAGTTACGTCACAGCGGCCATCTTGGAGGAACTATTCCTCTAACATGGCCGCCGGTCTTTTATCTTCTAAATCTCATGGGAATGGTTGATAGTTGATCTTTAAACAATTCTGAAAGATTTTAATAATTTCTAATTAAGAATTGATCTGTTCCATCTCGATATCATTTATGATATCTATATCTAACATTGCAGTGGTCTGCATCAGTTCTTATCAACTTCAAGAAAACAATTGCAGCATTGGCTTCGACATACTGTAGAATCAAGAAGGAAATGTGTGGCATTCCCGACTCTCGGAGATCAAGGTAGATTATAAACTCAGTCACCTTGGAAGCAAAGAGCTCACATACAACTCCAGCAACTTTAATCTGTTGTTTATTCTCCAATGTTTAACTTTCAATAATAATGGCAGAATTAATGAGCCCAATAACCTTTTTACTACTTTTTGATGGCTACATTTAAATGTGCAAGGTCCATTAAAAGGKTGAAAAAACTTTTAATGCTCGAAAAAGAAACCAAAAAAATTTAAATTCACATGTTTTTTTTTTACTCTGAAATCTTACATAGGCGTACTAATACCGATCAAATCTACAATGTAAGCAATGTCCATCTCCTGCCTGGATATCCTCAGCAAACCGGAAGCGATTTATTGATTGCGTTCTACGTTTTGAATCCTTCTGGGAGTAACTCGTCTCTTCTACCCGGTATCGCTCTAATGACGATTTCAAACAATGGCCAAGCAAATATCTCAAAGGTCWTWGGATATAAAGTAACTAACTTAGGAATGCTTGTGGGGGCATCAGCTAATACAATTCCTACAACTGCACCCTCTGAGRCTTGGRAKGGGATYGTTATTGGTGTATGCTGTGCAGTTCTGGCCTTGATTATCATCGTCATTCTTGTGATATTATATATCCGGTAAGTTTTATATGCTTCATAAAATGACACTAATAAATAGGTCTCACGGCTCAAAGCTAAAATTTATTGCATATATATTCTTGGTTCTTTTCGAGTAAAACATACATTTCAAAGGCTTTTCCACAATAGAAAACTCCAACTTCAACTCTCAAACTYCAAAAGAGTAAAAAAATGTGTTCTAGTAGACTATGTAATGTTGGTTGTGCCCATCACTGACATGTCAGGAGGATGGTGGCCAAAACCTAAGCATAGACCCACACAATCTGTCCCAAAACGGAAGAAGACAATTGCATGTCACAAAAAATATTGAGGAAAACGATTTTCGCGGGGAAACAAAATAAGAGGGCAAATTAAAAAGATTTCGCGACATCAAGTCGAGCCACAATGACAAGTATGTTGACCAGTTTTATAGCATCTAAAGTAGAAAACTGTCTACAAAATTATACCTCGATTTAAATGAGCTATAGTTATACCCTGACAACCCACAGGCATGTGAKTGCATGTCAGGCTACAAATCTTAAAAAATCGACTTCTTTGATTCATTATCAACCATTATAACATAAGAAATATCCTATAATTTACGTTTTTTTGATATTATATGCATGCTAAAGCAAAATTATTTGTCTATTGCCTATAATTTSTGATAGCTGGTTTATGCGAATGAAATGTAGTAATGCTTTTTAGGAGGAGCCGACGGGTTCCTGGGAGAAATATATATGTTCTTGTGTCCCAGCCAGCTGTAAGTCATAACTTACGAACAGCGAGAAATTYAGGAAAAAAAGAACTCTCCAGGCAAGGAATACTTTCTAAGAATTTTGCCAGAAAAATAAAAAATTTCTTATTGAAAAAATATAAAACGTTTTTGACCAAAACGTTATATAAGCCTTTTTTGAACTTAACAACGTTTGCCAGGAACAAACCACATTTGCCTTGTGAGATTGACAGCAATAAAGCTCAAAATCCCTTTTCCAGGAAAAAAATTCGTACAAGAACAGTTATTTAGAGGAACAGACCCCGTCGGCTCCTCCTGGCTTTTAGTCTTCGTGTGTGCGACCATTGGTGTACAGTRACAAGATCCTGATAATTTAATGAATAATTCAAAAGAAGTGTAATGATGAGTTTAATTGTCTTCTCTTCTCTTTTTATTTCAGTAAAAAGAATAGTGACATAATCGAAACTGAAGGCGTTGATCTTGAAGAGAGCCATGACGAACGCTATCAACCTGGAAAGGATGACATAGAACTTGGAATAGTTGACAACATTTATACCATAGACATATAAATATGACCTGCCATGGAAATCAAGATTAAATTTTAAGATTTTCTTCTTTTCTTTTCTTCTTTTTCTTTTCCTCTTTTTTATACATAAAGGAATGTGGCTCCCTGATCAAAGCATCTTGCTAACAATGCCTTTTATTGTTCTTCTTATTTTGTCATAATCGCCATATCTGGAGCATTTCCTAGATCATACGTAGAACYCATGCATGGGGCATTGAACAATTAAAAGGATTTTTTAACCGTTTCCATCCAATCAAAAAGTGTCAGATAACCGTGTATAACTACAAGTTTAAACAGTTATTTAATCCAAACGTTAAGTGCATAGGGATGTGGCTTGCAGTGGACCTCTCCCCCACCGTCTCCAAAATCACAGCCCAATTTTGTACCTAATTTCCCTTTATTTTGTTCAGTAACTCCAAGTCCATGATCAGCCCGCTTACAAGCTTTGCTAACACCTCCAATTGATATCACTGCTCCAGCCCAACCAAAGTCACACCAGAATCCAATTTGGTTTCGTTTCAAAACACGACCGTCGCAATTCGCCTGGGAAAATCCTGCAGTTGAGATATAATTTCCAGAGTATGACACATCGCAAATACCAAGACATTTATCAGGAGACCACTCATTTCCATCTCTAAAGTTTCCATAGCTGGACATCTTTTGACGTAATGTCATCCCACCCAGACAGTTAGACGTGGTCACCAAGAGGGGTGTATGGTCGGGGTCGTCTGTACGAGATATTTTGATTTCTTGACCTGTGGTTGTCCAGAAGGCGGGCGCTATCATGTCTTCATTGGCAGTTGTGTTTGAAATGTCACCTTGAGCAGTGTCTTTATCATACCANCCATGATCAGCCCGCTTACAAGCTTTGCTAACACCTCCAATTGATATCACTGCTCCTGCCCAACCAAAGTCACACCAGAATCCAATTTGGTTTCTTTTCAAAACACGACCGTCGCAATTCGCCTGAGAAAATCCTGCAGTTGAGATATAGTTGCCAGAGTATGACACATCGCAAATACCAAGACATTTATCAGGAGACCAGACCTTTCCATCTCTAAAGTCCCCATAGCTGGACATCTTTTGACGTAATGTCATCCCACCCAGACAGTTAGAAGTGGTCACCAAGAGGGGTGTGTGGTCGGAGTCGTCTGTACGAGATATTTTGATTTCTTTACCTGTGCTGGCCCAGAAAGCGGGCGCTATCATGTCTTCATTGGCAGTTGTGTTTGAAATGTCACCTTGTGCAGTGTCTTTATCATACCACCAATATCCACTTGATTGCATCCAATTTTTGGAATCTGAGTTTGAAAATCGTGCAATAAGGGTCCAAACCTGAAAACAAAGAGTAGAAAATGAACATTTCATGACAATTCCGCGATTCTTGCAGAGCACGTGACGTAATTTTGACTCCTTAAAATTTGATAATGTATAGATCGTACGGGACTGACTCTATATCATCTTTTAGAGAATATATTAATAATAACGTCATTATGACATCACATAAAGCCTTAACACATCACAACTTGGTCTGAAAATGTCATGGTTGTAGATCCATTGTTTCCGAAGAAGCTGAGGACGTCTACGTCAGGCGGAGGGGTCTGCATTTATCTTAGACAAACCATACCGTGCACTCGATCACAATGTGAGCATCCTGATGTAGAGTCTCTTTGGCTTTCAGTGAGACCACACAGCCTACCTAGATCGATCTCGTCAATAGTGCTTTGTGTTGTTTATCACTCTACAGCTAATGGTCAACCTGAGAATGTCGTTTTGTCCAACCATATTCGAACAAATCTGGACAGCCTACTTATGAAACAACCKAATGCTTTGGTGGTGATTGTCGGAGATTTCAATCCCCTTTCAACGGGACTCAAACCAAAGGATTTGACACAGCCAAATAATCTTAAACAAATCGTAAAATTCAAGACCAGAGATACAGGAATACTAGACTGGTTCCTTACGAACAGACCCGCTATTTTTCAAATGTTCCAACTGCCAAAGATAGCGAGGAGTGATCATTTCACGATTTTAGGAAAACCGATAACAAATAGCCCACATTCACATGCAATTCAAAAAGTGACGGTGCGTGATTTACGTGACAGCGCGTGGCGTTCGTTTGGGCGATGGCTAATTAATATGGACTGGTCACATTTGTCCTCTGCAGAATCATGCGAACAAAAGTTTRACATCTTCATTACTGAGTTACAGAATGCAATCGACACCTACCTTCCATTTAAATCAGTCAGAATTCATCCAACTGATAGACCGTGATTAACAAAGAGAATTAAGTTACTACTAATTGGAAAGCGGCAAAGTGCGTTTACTCGTGACGGGAAGGACTCCGCTTCTTACAGGCTTTTGAGGAACAAAGTCAAATGGGAAATAAAGTCAGCAAAATATAACTACTATCATCATAAAGTAAGTGACCTTGAACACACAGATCCAAAGAAATGGTGGAAACAAATCAAGCAATTAACGGGTCAGGATATTCAACAGGAATGGTTCCATCAATTCCTAGGCGAAAATTGTCCTGACACTAMGGCCTTAGCTAATATGGTGAACGACCACTTTATTAGTCTAACATCTGGCTTCGCTCCCCTGACCCCAACTGGAGTAATCAGCCAACAAGTTCCCTCAAGCCTCCTAGTGAGTGTCAGGGAGRTGCAAGAAGCCTTGTCAAGCCTAAATGTTGGGAAGGCAATTGGCCCTGATAGGATTCCGAATAGGGTCTTAAAAGAATTTGCTCCTGAACTCGCCCCTTTAATTATGGACATTTACAACCGTTCACTCAAGGAGGGTTATGTTCCCAACCTACTAAAACAATCTATTGCCCAAAACAATCCATTGCCCAAGGTTTCCCCGCCACAAAAATTTAAACTGACTTAAGACCTATCTCCCTCACTTGTACCATTGCTAAAGTCATGGAAGGATTTGCGCGCAACAGACTTGTTGCGCAAATCTCGGAAAAACTTGATCCACGTCAGTATGCAAGGGAGGGGCACTCTACCGCGGATGCCCTGATTTACATCCTTCAGGCGATACATGAGGCAACAGATAGCGGGAACTGTGGAGCTAGATTGTTTTTCGCGGATTATTCCAAGGGTTTCGACCTGATCGACCATTCTATATACTTCTCAGAGAGCTGTCGCATTTTGATGTAGACAGTGTGTTAATTAACTGGATCAGAGCCTTTTTGACTGATAGATCACAGGCTGTAAGAATTGGAGACTCTCTGTCCGATTGGAAATCACCCAGAGGTGGTATTCCGCAGGGGACGAAACTTGGAGTTATATTATTCGCCGTTATGACMAATAATCTTTTGCGCGATTGGCRTTTAAGGATTAAATTTGTGGATGATACCACGGCATTGGAAATCCTACCTAGAAATGGTATTAGCTTACTAAACGTAGCTGTTAACGATATTCATAATTTTTCTATAGACCATAATATGAAATTAAATCCAAAAAAATGTAAAGAAATGTTAATTAACTTCTAGCATAATGACAATTTTAATATAAGACCAATTACCCTAGGTAACAACACAGTCGAACSTGTAAYAACTTATAAATTGCTGGGTATTGTTATTAGCAATGACCTAAAATGGATCGARCATATTGATTATATTTCAAAGAAGGCATCAAAGCGACTGCACTCATTAAGGATTCTTAAAAAAGTAGGCGTCAATRGAGAGGGAATTCTTAAAGTTTATACTACTACAATAAGACCAATTTTAGAGTACGGAGTTCAAGTCTGGCAAGACATACCTGAATTTCTTTCTGATAAGCTAGAATCAATCCAGAAGAGGGCTTTATATATTATTTATCCATATCATAATTATTTAGATGCCCTCAATTTTACTAACATATGCAGCCTTAAAGAAAGAAGATTCCAACTATGTTGTAAATATATTCAGAAGATGTCTCTCAGCGATCACCCCATAAATTGTCTTTTACCAAAATCTTCAACTTGTGAACATAACTATAATCTGCGGTCCGGCAGTAAAACTAGAACCATAATGTATGCCGATAAGACCGGTTGCCGAACCCAGCGTTCTAGCTCATTTATCACCTTTAATAGCAGATACATGTAAATAAATAGATAAGTATAATGTATATATAGATAGATAGATAGATCATAATGATATACTTTTGTTCATACATTTATTCATATATTTTTGTAATCCTTAGCCCTTTAATTCAGCCCTTTAATTCCTGCAATGTGGCAAATAAACGATTTATTATTATTATCAACCCAGTCGTCTGAATATGATTAAGCTTTACTTTGCTATTATCGGTCATTTTTGGCCATCCTTTAATTCAGCCCTTTAATTCCTGCAATGTGGCAAATAAACGATTTATTATTATTATCAACCCAGTCGTCTGAATATGATTAAGCTTTACTTTGCTATTGAAAAATCTTGAAAGGAATGCATACCTGAACAGTTGTTGGAGTCACTTTCGACGAGGCTGTTGTTGTCAGAGCTGTTGTTTTGGTGGACTGAGTTGYTAGAGGAGACGTAGTAGGTACAACTATTTCAAGTTAAAAAGAAAGGTATGTTTAACATTGTCAAGGGGATATTAAGGCAAAGAATATTTTAATATTTAAAGATATACATGTTCACTAGAATGCATTCCCTCGTTTTATTAGAAATATTTTATTAGAGGTGATGCTTTCCCTTGAACAGAATTCATTCCTACAATTGTAGATAAGTCATATGCACTATGGTTGAAATKAATAATTACCCATGTCGCAATGCACACCACTGAATCCGTACGAACACTCACACACGTAACTGTTCTTGTCGTAGAGGGCTATGCACGTTGCTCCATTACAACATGGTTGAGACTCACATGGACTCTACAAAATGATTTTCAGAAAAAAATGGAGAATGTGAAATTTATGCAGCTGGAGAACATTCTTTGCACKAATGTCACTAAAAAAGGGGTAGAATATCTCCTTGCCAGAAGACTTATAAAGACTTATATCGCCAGACTATCACATGAATTTATTCTTATTGCTTTTATATATAGCTAGTCCAAAAAGGTCGAGAAGATAATGCTTCGACCGKGAAATTATTCTATGCTTCTATGAAATGTTTCTTATCATGCAGACCAGATTGCTCACAGTCCTTGGAGCATGCTCAAAACCTTCAGTCTCTTGAAAAAGCTTCTAACTGTGTTGGTCTCTATCTCAATGAGACAAAAACGGAGTTTCTAAACAGATGCCTGACCAACAATGAGTACTTCGTCAAGGCACTAAATAGCACCTCCCTTAAGTAGGTCTAGGACTACAAGTATCTTGGGTCACACATTTCCTCGTCTGAAAAGAACTTTTCCACCAGGAAAGGTATGGCCTGGTCAGCTTGCAACGACAGGCATAAAATCTGGACCTCTCAGCTTTCCACTCACCTAAAAGTAAAAATCTTCAGGGCAACCGTTGAGCCAATAGTCTCCTTCATAGCGGTAACGTGCGCCATGTTGAAAGGTAGCCGTGCCTTTGCATCGAAGCGAGACGACCGTTGAGCGTGCAATGATAGAAACCTTCTTTCATTCCTGCAGACAATTATTCACAGGTTTCTATCATTGCACGCTCAACGGTTGTCTCGCTTCGATGTAAAGGCACGGCTACCTTTCCACATGGCGCAGGTAACCTTGAAGAGGACTATTCTACTCTATGGCTCCGAGAAAGGAAACTTGAGATGAGACTTGATGGAACTTACACCCGCCTACTAATGAGAGCACAGAATCTCTCTTGGAAAAGGCAACCCAGTATCTCCTTAATCTATGGCGAGCTCCCCCGTGTCTCTGACTTGTGCGATCTAGAAGAGTGCAGTTTGCCGGATACTGTTACCGTGCAGAGTCAGAGATAGTCTCCTCACTTCTCCTATGGAAGCCTAGTTCTCCTAGATCTAGGGGTAGAAAGCTGTCATTCCCAGACGTTATCTCGAGAGATACAGGTATTAGAATTGAGGACCTGGGGAAGGCAATGGTGGACAGGGAAGTTTGGCGTAWTGTTGTGAACTCCATTAACTCGACTGATGATGATGATGATTGTCACGAACGTTACGTTACGAGTCAAACATTCATTCAGATTTTTTACGATCGAACGTAAGACGACAAMATTCTGGTAGCAGAGCGAGGTTTTTGGACGACGTCAAATTACTTCCTATCGCAAATGAGTGAAGATACATACGTGAATTGCATTAATCTGSTTCCTCACGATTTTATATAAGGATTATGTTATTGAAATGGAKGAAAAAAGTACCAGCATCGAAGACACAAAATTGTCTCCTGTCGCGACATCGTGTCTGGAATTAACCGATGCCGACGATTGGGTTACCTGTGGATACTTTGACGCAAGGAAAGACCAACGAGGAAAATACACCCTCCAAAACGATATGAAGATTATCGGATTTGTAGAGACTTCAAAGAAATTTTAACAGAAAGAGGAGTACTTTGTCGAGATTAGTTAACTCAGCCGATAATATGATGGATTCTCGAGGGAGCCGAAGGGGACTTTTAAAGGACTTATAGACAAATTAGAAACTGCTCGAAAAGAGAGCTCGAAAATGCAGCCGYTGAAAGCGGCTTGCTATGTTGACAAGGAGGAATTGATTAAGATAAAGCTTATGGATTACGTGCAAATAACGAGCAATGGTGTTTTACATTGCATTGTGACTTAATTTCCTTCGGTAGATATCAGTAATCATAGTACTTTTAAAAATGACTTGTCTAGAGCATAAACCAAATTATTTTCAATTGACAAGAAGACAAAAATAGCAAGAACGAAAAGGTCAAGTGAGGTGAAAAACACGTGAAACGAATCACAACATTGTTTTGACAGCTGAGAAGGCCATGGGACGATGTATATAGCCAATCAAAATACATATAAGAGTGAGGCTTACCAATCAGAGCGTGTACTCAAATTTAGGTACACAGAGAACACGATATCGTGCACTGTTTGTTAGACCGTGTTTACGAGTAAACGGTGGATGAACTCAGGCTAGTACACATCTTTCTGACATCAAGTTTCCAATTGTGGACTCGAAGGATGTAACTATTCTCATCGGCGCAAACGTCTGCATCTACATCTACATTTATTAATCAGCAACGCTTTCGCATCAAGTCGATAAGTCGACCTTCAGCGTGAAGATAGACTGGCTTGCCAGGACAACCCGATAGCATTTGGACCCAGGCTCCATCAAACCATTCGTTAACCCAGAACGTCTCTTCACGTCATGCATGTACACCGGGTACTAAACGTTGAGGAACGGATTCCTTCGGTACAAAGTTATACACGAACATGAAACACTGAGATCAAATAAAGACAAGAGGGCATTGGAGACGTTAGTTAAAACGTTCAAGCTCGTAGGCAACCATTACGAGATTACGAGGTTAGAATGCTATGGAGAGACGACAATGTACAGTTCCCGGATAATTGGAATATGGCCGAGAAGAGACTCAAATCTACGGAGAGACGCTTGTAACGTGATGATACTCTAGCACAAAAGTACTGTAACATCATCGATGGGTACGTTGATAAAGGCCACGCTTGCAAACGTACCGCGGAGGAGTCCAGAGAAAAAGTCCAGTTCTTAACCCAAGCAAGTCAGGGAAGGCACGCATGGTGATGGACGCAGCAAAGGATTCTCTCTTCATGACAAGCTGCTCACCGAACCTGACTTACTAAACAGTCTCACGGGTTACTGCTCAGGTTTCGTGAGTATAAAGTGGGAATGTCAGCAGACAATGTAACAGTGTCGAAAGCGACCAAGCAGTACTAAGGTCATTGTGGCGCAACATTGAACGTGTGATCGGACACCTGACTTTCAGATGCTCTAACCACTGAGCTACTGGGACTCATATGGTGAGCAAAGGTCTTAAGTGTGGGATATGTATGACAAATGTACTGTATATGCTACAGTTGCGAATATGTCGT